ACCGGCGACGTAGAGAGGGGGTACTTGCTGTCTGGGCAACAGTCTGTACTCCAAATCAAAACGCCCTGGCCTGTGCCCTGGAGAGATCACTCCAGCGATGCTTAACAGTTTCGACACAACACGGGAAACAGCAGTCACCGGTTATAAGCCTTTGCTCAATTGGCGTAGAGCTAGGCGCCAGGGGTTGTTTCCGACGGTGGGAGAGACCATCGTAGTCTCATTGGACAGCTACCGCCCGCCTCAGCTGGGCAGCCCCCATTCAGTAAGGTGTTGTCCCGCCACGATCCGTTTGCCTTGTTGGGTGCACAGGGCTTAGGGGATAACCCGACATACGGATTGTAATCCTTGTACCTACACAAAGAAGCCAAAAAATCAGATTCTCAGCTCTAAAGCTGAGCACATGGAACGTGAGGACCATGACACCTGGTATTCTGGACGATCTGCAGCATATGAGCGATGTAAGGAAAACTGCAGTCATTAACAATGAACTGTCCCGTCTGAACGTGGACATTGTTGCCCTACAGGAAACCCTGCTCTCCTCCTCACGTAGCATCAAAGAGAAGGACTTCACATTCTTCTGGCAGGGAAAACCATCTTCGGAGCTCATGGAACAAGGCGTAGGCTTTGCGATTAGGAACCGATTGCTTGGAACTGCCACACCACCTACAGGAGGATCAGAAAGAATCCTTAAAATTCAGGTCCAGACAAGAGCTGGACCAGTCACTCTGATAAGTGCCTATGCACCAACCCTGCCCTCTTCTCCCGACTCCAAGGACAAATTTTATGAGGAACTCAGTTCCACACTCAGCGAAGTCCCGGACAGGGAAGCCCTATTCATTTTGGGTGACTTTAATGCAAGAGTGGGCGCTGAGCACAGCTCATGGCCATCCTGTATGGGACATTTTGGAGTAGGAAAAATGAATGAAAATGGACAGAGGCTGCTTGAGCTATGCTGTCTTCACAACCTCTGCATCACAAATACCTTGTTTGATCTGAAGCCCCAGCACAAGGTCTCTTGGAGACATCCCAGATCTAAGCACTGGCACCAGCTTGACATCATCCTCACTAAACGCAGTCACCTTCATCTTGTTAAGGTCACTCGCAGCTATCACAGTGCAGATTGTGGCACAGATCACTCCCTTGTGTGCAGCAAAGTGAAGTTAATCCCAACCAGAATACATCGGGCAAAGAGGCCAGGACGGCCCCGCATTGACACAGGAGAAAGTCGTAATCCTGGAAAAGTATGAGAATTTATAAAAATCCTGAGCACAGCTCTGCCCGGCCCACCAAACGCTGATGCTAGTGACAGATGGAAACATCTAAAACACGCCCTATATGATTCTGCCATGTCCGTGTTCGGTAAGATTCAAGTTAAATCACTGGACTGGTTTGAGGAACACAAGGAAGAAATGTTGCCAATATAGAGGAGAAGAAAAAGGCTTTATTGGGATATAAAATCCAGCCGAATACCAGAAATCTGCAAGTGCTCAGGTCCATTCGGTCTAGAGTCCAGAAAACTGCACGGCGCTGCGCTAATGATTACTGGATTAAACTTTGTGAGAGGATACAAACCTCAGCAGCTACTGGCAACATAAGGGAAATGTATGCTGGAATCAAGAAGGCTATTGGGCCAGTAAAACGAAAGATTGCCCCTCTCAAATCAACCACGGGCGAAATCATAAAGGATCGGACAAGGCAGCTGGACCGTTGGGTGGAGCACTACACAGAGCTATATGCTACAAGCACCTTTGTATGTGAAGAGGCCTTAAATGCAATGGAGTGTCTGCCAACCATGGGTGAACTAGACACGGAACCCTCCGTCACAGAAATCAGTGAGGCAGTAGATGGGCTTCCAGGGAAGGGAAGGCCCCAGGAGAGGATGGTATCCCACCTGAGATCCTAAAATGCTCCAAGGATGCTATTCTTCCTGAGCTACACAAGATCCTCTGTCAGTGTTGGCAAGAAAAATCGGTGCCACGGGATATGAGAGACGCCAACATTATAACTCTCTATAAAAATAAGGGAGATAGAAGCGACTGCAACAACTATCGCGGTATCTCTCTATTGAATTATGTGGGAAAAGTCTTTGCTCGTGTTATCCTAAAGAGGTTGCAAATTCTAGCGGACAGAGTATACCCGGAATCACAGTGTGGGTTTAGGGCCAAGAGATCAACAGTTGATATGATCTTCTCCATCAGGCAGCTACAAGAGAAGTGCAGAGAGCAACAGAGGCCACTGCTCATTGCTTTCATAGATCTCACTAAGGCCTTTGACTATGTTAGCAGAGATGGTCTATTCGGGATCCTTGAAAAATATGGATGCCCACCTATACTACTGAGCCTAATCAAATCCTTTCATGAGAATATGAGGGGGGGGGGGCATAATATATGAGGATTCATCATCTCGACCCTTCCAGATTCGAAATGGAGTAAAGAAAGGATGTGTTCTGGCTCCCATGCTGTTTGGCATCTTTTTTACCGCATTATTGAGGCGTGCATTTGGGACAGCAACTGAGGGGATATACCTCCGTTCGAGGTCACATGGCAAACTTTTTAATCTGTCCAGGCTACGTGCAAGGACGAAGGTGCACACGAGATGCCTCAGGGATTTTCTGTTTGCGGATGATGCAGCCATTGTGGCACATTCAGAGAATGATCTGCAGATCCTGATGAATCGCTTTGCAAATGCTTGCAAAGAATTTGGGCTTACCATCAGTCTGAACAAAACACAAGTGATGGGATTGAATGCTGAAAATCCACAAAACATTAGTGTGTATGACCATCAGCTGCTGGCTGTAAATGAGTTTGAGTACCTAGGTTCGCGTATCTAAAGCAATCATTCTCTGGATGCAGAACTAAACAAACGTATAGGAAAGGCCTCTGCTATGTTTGCAAATCTCACAAAGAGAGTCTGGTCAAACAAAAAGCTAACTGATAATACAAAAATGAAGGTTTATGAGTCTTGTGTCCTGAGCACATTACTGTACGGCTGCGAATCCTGGACTCTCTATGCTCCACAGGAAAAAAGACTGAATACCTTCCATATGCGCTGTCTGAGACGCATCCTTGGTATATTATGGCGAGACCTTGTCTCCAACGAATGTGTGCTTACAAGAGTAAAAATACCATCAATGTATTGTATACTGAAGCAAAGACGTCTGCGCTGTCTGGGACATTTCTCCCGCATGAAGGATGGTCGTATTCCAAAAGATCTCCTATATGGTGAATTGGTAACTGGGAATAGACCTACAGGAAGACCAAAGCTGCGCTATAAAGATGTATGCAAACGTGACCTAATAGATACCAACATAGGCACAGAGACATGGGAAAAATCAGCTGCAGATAGACTACTATGGAGACAGAAAGTGAAAGACGGACTGTCACTTTTTGAAGGAAACCGAACACAACGAGCTGTGGAGAGGAGACACCGGAGAGTAAAACTGCCTCACAACGAGGGAGTATCTGCTTTTGTGTGTATCCTGTTTGGCAAAGACTGCCATTTCCGCATCGGACTTAACAGTCACAGCAGGTGCTGTTCCCAAAGCCAGCGGCACATCTCCATAGTCCCCCGGGACTGACGGATGCCATTAACTGCCTCTGTGGGTTCCAGTGCAAAGTCATTCTAGTTATATTGTTCTCAGGTTTTCTCAACGTGTTACCTATACAACACCAACGTCTTTTTCAGTTGTTGGTCCACTGGAACTTGTTTATTTCTATAAAGCTCTACAATAGTTATTCTTTCACACCCACATGCTCTTTCACCATTACTGTTGTCTTCAGAAATGGAACATAATGGTGATGACCATGATAATCACCATAAAAATGATCATGTGTTGATTCAACTATAACATGCAAACCATGAAATAATTAGAAAAATATTTTTTAAAATGGTGCAGCAAGGGACGATTGTTCTGCTTCTGTTTATTTCAAGTAAAACAAACAATTATGTTGTTAAAACAACCTATACATTGAGCTGAGTGGGACTAATATTGGAGATTGATTGGGTGATTTGTTGTCACTTTTCCGTGTTTCCAGACGATAGTTCTATATTGCGTTATAAGGAGGTATGGAACTCAGTGGCGAAGGCGAGTTTGACTAGCAAGACCCGGGAATAATGCGATAGTCATAGATTACCAATCCTGTTTGGCCTATTGCTCTCTTTAAAAAGAATTAACTTCCCGCCTTCCTACCCACTAACTATCTCCATCAGCATCTATTCTGCCAACAAGCATAAGCAGTCATTATTCGATATCTCAGAACCACTGATCAGGTCAGTGCTCTTGCTCAGCACCATTGAAATGAAGAAGTCACAAGGGTATTTATTTCTTTGACTTCTCCTCGCTCTCTTGCCAGCTGGTACCAGGTTCGCCACTTGTATTCATTTCCTGGAAATATTCAGTCTGTAATCGAACAGCTTGGAAGACAGTTACATTTTTAAAAAAAATATAATTTCTTTCTTTCTGTTCGCCGTGTGTAGCCTGGCATATAGAACGCGCTTCGTGATTATGTGTTACCTGTTTCAATTCCAGCTACAGAAGATTTGGCAGCAGACAGTTTTGCGTTTATTTTAACAGTCGTATAGAGAACCGATTATTTAAGTGCAATGACGAACTATTAAAAGTAAAATTGTCTATCGAAATCACCCCCTCCCCCCACCCCACCAATGTAAACAAAATTGATAGGAATTGTTCTACAACATCTTTTTGTTTATTTCTCCATCATGCAACATAGTCACGCTAGTGCACCCACCGAAAATATCCCGAACTCCATCGCAAGTTCGTTTTTTTCTAGACCGGCTTTAGCAGAAAAGAACGGCTAATCACAGTAAGCGCTTCACATATAGGTTATTTAATTAGTAACTTTATGTAGGGCAATGTTGCTCCTGCTGTTGCGTTTTTCTTTTCTTTTCTTTTTTCTTGTATTGATATTTCACACACAGAAATTGTGGCCAGCTTAAACCTTTTCGTTCGCCCAACTCAGGTTCAGAAGCAGTTTACTGTATTATTTGACAGGCGTCTGCTGTGCCATGACATCGTCTGCTGGTTTAGTCAAAGTCTTCGAAAATCCATAGACTTCTTCCTGGACATTGGTCTGGGGCAGAGCTTCCGCAAAAGCTGAAAACCGTCGCCCCAGCGCCACGAGCGAAGACATTATATGTGGTAGCTCAGCCTGCTTGCCCTGGGCCCAAGGCTGCAAGGATGCCTGGCCAAACGGAAGAAATATTAAAGCTCCTAGGATAAAACCGGACCCGACAATAATCCAAACGTTACGCCATTCTTCTTGGGTATCCTGCAGAAGAAAACAATTTGTAAGTTAGAAGTCTACAATATGCAACAACAAAAAACAATTAAAAATTGTGTTCACTAGAATAAATTAAAGAAATATTGCATAGGTAATTAACTACAATATATTACGGATAATAAACAGTTGAAAATTAATTTACTTCAATATTTTACGGTCAAAAATAAGTACAAACTGTAAAAAAAAATATATTAGGGACGGACAAAAGTTCGAAGTTAATCTGCTTATAAGTAGGAAGAACTCCACAGGGTAGCGTGCACAGCAGAGGTCCACAGATTATCAGTAGAAAATCCTTTGCCGACAATTTTTTGGGCCTATTATCTTCCTAGACAATCTTGGAAGGTGGGCCGACCTGGTTCATGAAGACTGGCCTCGCACATCCCCTGCTACACTTTATCGGACGTTCGGACAGGTACAAGACGAAATGGTGACTTTACAACAGGTATTGTGAGATTTAGTGTTATATATATTGTCGCTCGTCGACTCTGTGGCTAAGTCGATGCGAACGCTTCGTAATGCCGTGGTGCCGGGTTCGATCCCAGCTGCGGGCCATGCGCCTTGCGTTGGTTTCGACAGTGGTATCAATGGACCGACCTCCAGAAAGCAATGGCAAACTACTGACGTAAATTTGCCTAGAGAAACCACACAACAGTCGGGAGCTGCTGGGGTTGGTTCTGTAACGTCCTGTAAAGGATACACAACTAACCTAGATTGTCGCTGCCGTAGTAAGTTATGCGCCTACCTTTGCGATCAGAGTGACAAGCTTGCGGTTGGTTCATCGGACAGACGTTAGACTTTGGCAACTTGCAGAGAGACACTGGCAGATGTTTTGTCGGACACTTTGGCTTCAAACTTTGACTTTAATCTTGGTGCTCGGACCAATCTACTGAGGCTCATCCCCCACGACATTCCACTGTGTCCAGAGCCAGCTCGCCTAATTGTTTTAGTGCCCGTTTCTGTTAGTTTCCTCGCAAGCCCAAATGCTTTAGTAATTGTATGTGAAAGTGGAGATGAGTCCTCTTACGCCTACCTCGACGGCGAAGATTTTACTGTTTTCGCTTCATCTCTCCTCAGACCGGCCACGAGGTCAGCAAACTGTTCGAGTTTTGATAGGTGATTTTCTTCCATACGCGTCTCGTACGGCACTGTCAGCTCTGTCTGGATGAGCTGACGTTTTTCCACAGAGTGCAGCACTATGTCTGGTTTCTCTTTCGGATTGATTCTGGGTACTTTCCAAAACCATGCAGGTCGATTGCCAGTAACCAGTCCCTCGCACAGTCACGTATTGATGTTGCGTATGCGACCTTGTTGACTTTACCTTTAGAGATCTGTCCAGCTTTGAGGAAGCGCATGGAAAAGGAGGAGAGGAAATATTTGACTGGCCCCAGCGTTTTCCCTCATTCTGGCTTGGCCCACAATGTCAGCTAATTTTTTTCAAGACTTTGTTGTCGCGCTATGAATGTGGTCCCTGACCTAGGGCTTTCCTGCACGCGGACAATATGTGCTGGTGCGTCTGCTTGGTTCTGCATAGGGAACATGTCGGTTTGGTAGTTGCGTGCCATTTGACCATGTCGGCGCCAGACGGTTACACATCGTAAGCCGATCTTAATACAAAGCTCAGCCGCAGGGTGGCCGTTCGCCAGATATCAACCCATGTGAGTTAATCCACTCAAATATGCCGTGAATAAGAACAAGAACAAACGCGACAGGTGTAAAAGATAAGAAAGTTCCACAGCAGTTAACGCTTTTGAGGTACGATGTGGTTTATATATTCTAGACCACAACATGGAAGGTGTTATCAAACAATTCAAGAAAATTGAGGACATTTTTAAAATTAATGATTTATCTGAAATCGGTATGGATGGGTAAGTAAATGAGTTTGAGCACGTGTGAGTTAAAGCGTGAATTATTAAATAATTAGTTGGGTGAGTGAGTGACCGACTGACTGAATAACAGTTTGGTTGTTTTGACAATATACTCACATTAGTAGTAATGGCAGCAGCCAGGAGAGGTGCAGAAAACGCAAAACTGGTTCCAATGAATGTAGTTAGTGAGTTCAGTATGCCAGCATACCTATAGACAAAATACAGAAAGACAGCAGCACTTTCAGTTTCAGTCGTTTATTTGATGAATTAGCACATCTGCCTTTCTGTCAAAATATTTACGTATTTACTTAATATTTACCATCTTTTCATGACTTTGCAGAACATTCCAAAGTATTATTGGTGGTTTATTTCTTTCCCTCCTTGGCAAATTGCCACTAAACGATCGGCTGTCAATACTTCGTCGAAACCAAATCAACGCGGTCTGTTTCCACATCGTCTCCAGCTGGGATCGAACCCTGCACACAAGCATTACGAAGTGAGAATGCAACGTCTAAGGATGTTTTTTTTTTTTTTTTACTTTTGACTTTGAAGAAAGGGGCGGATTGGCCATCTAGTCAAGCAAAATGAAGCACACATACACATAAGCGCTTACACTCATACATAGGCCCCCTCGCATGCACACACAAACATACACCCAAAGCGAGGTGTGGCACTATAAAACCTTTCACATCCCCCAAGCTGAGTCAGATGTACCTAAACGGAACAAAGTATATAAGACAATGTTTGTATGTCTTTTGTGTTTACAACACATCCAGTGATTGATCAAAACTAAATGAAACTAAGTGTTTTTAATCACAAATCACAATGTCCGTTTGAGTATGGCGAAAATTATTCATTACTCTCAGCCACACAGTAAAATCTCTGTTCACAAGCTACAGGGCTTCTCAGTCGATCCCCTCAACGCTCCTGGCCTAACCGCCATGCTTCTCTCCTTGTTACCCCTTTCTCGTTATTTCCTTATCTCTCTTCTTCCCAAAACCCGGGCGATCTCTCGCCCGTTGTCAGCTGTCTGTCCACTTTTATCTCCATCTTATCCTTTTCCTGTTGTTTCTGTTTTACCTCAAGCCTGACGTATCCTCCACCCTGGATTCGTGGCCAGATGGCACCCTATCTGACGGCAAGATTAATATGTCCTGTATCTGGTGTTGCGTTGTTCGACCTGCGTTCTAATCTAGGTTGCTGGCGTGCCGGCTATCATGCCATTCAGTGATGCTTTAGTGCTTCTCCACATATCCCCCTTATTTCACTTTCCTATAGAGAAACGCAAACTCACATACAGATAAGCATTCGGTCACATTCGCATGCACACGTATATATCCATATACACTAAAGAACACACTGTCACAATCACCTGCGCGCACACACACACACATGCATTTACGCCGACAAATATTCACTTATTTTCACATGCACACATACACGCTCGCACACACCCAGGCGCAGACATCATCCATTGTCCTTGTTAGTTTATTATTAAAATGTGGTTCAAGAGTGGTTACGATGCCAAATCGATACTGCGGACACACAAATACACACGCAAACTACATTCCTTGTTGGTTTTGAACTTCCTATGTCGCTAAAAGGTCATAGTGCGCCAGGCCGATACAGTAGGGACATATCCACAACTAAAGAGTCTTTGTTTGATGTTTGAGGTCTGAACAACGGATCAACACCATGACACACGAGTAGTAACTCATAAGTGCTCCGTTCTTCTTCGAACTCAAGTCTGAGTCCGAAGATGGTCAGCACAGTGCACAGGCTCTGTAGCGCTGGTGAGGATTCTGAAATACATTGGGTAGATTTTTAGCTCCAAATCTTTCCCGGGCAGAGCCGTTAGGCTACTCTTTTCGATTTCCAACTGCCAAGGCACGAAACAATGCACACGGGCATCTGATCTCCTTACCCAGAGAACAGGGGAAATTACTAGAAGTCCAGTTCCACGTGAAAAACAAGCCAGCCCTTGCCAGGGACTAAACCCGTAACCTCTAGGACTCCAGGCGGACACTATGTTTCGAGACCACACAGTTCCCTAAAGAGTTTGTGTGATATCAGCCAATACTGTGTGGACAAATCCAGAACTAAATAGGTCTCACTGCTACGCAGATAAGCTGTTTATCTACAGCTCTGATGGCAGCGGTTCGTTTCGCCAACTGAATCTTTAGAGCCACAAGTGTAAGTGTAATTGAGATCCTGAAGTCGATGCCGGGGCTAGGGAGGTTTTCATGTAATTTATCGTTCTGTAAAGCGATGCAAACATCTGGCCCAGTGACATCGATTCTGTCGGCATTAAAACTTCAGAACTCAATTGGACCTAACGGATGATTCCCCAGATTAACAGTAGATCGTACAGTAAACCATAACCACGTATTTGAATGCCTGTGATAAAAAACATCTTACATACAGACCTAGGCGCCATGTCTAGAGGAAGTGCTGCAACGCTGGACGAACGAACAGACTGGTTCAGCATGGAAAACAACAAGAGACCTAGCACGACCCACTTGTAGCTCTCGTCAAAAATGCCAATAACTGAGATGGTGGCACCACCAATTATTAGTCCTGCAGAAAATTAACAAGTAATAAAATTAATTTATTTTTTTATTAATTGATTTTTAAAAAAAAAAGAAAAGGAAAAATGAAAATTGACTATTTTGACTATAGTGGCGTATGATTGTCCAGTATTTTTGTACCCCATTCGTACTTGATGAATCATGCATGCATCATCTCAGCAACCGCCGCGTTTACGTCCCACTACATTCAGGGGCACTCATTTTTAGGCTGGATCAACATTCGCTTCGATACTAATTTGAACCCAAGACCTTCGGGTTGGCAAGCTAGCGTCTAAGCATTGGGCTACTGAGGCTCCATTGGTGGTACTTGCTTTTTATTAAACAAAGCTTCAATGATTTAATTTCTTCCTCTTCTTTTCGTTAACCAGCTATAAACTCTGGCAGAAAGTTCTTATTGTTCATCCACTTCTGAACTGCAGTCCTGTTCCAGAACTTGAGTGTTGCGTGTGCATCCGTTTGACAGATCTGACTAATTTGTATGCAGACTGCTGGTTCCTTGCTTCTTAGGCAGATGCACTCCGACTTTGAAGGAAGC